ATCTCGATTATTAAAGGAAATATCAGAACACAGTGTTCAACACTGTTTTTCAGCTTACTAAACTCCAGAAATTCCAGATATATCGTCGACTTTTTTTGTTAGAAACGATACACAGCAAAAAAAAGCTTGTGTCGTAGAAGTTGCTAACTTTTACTTTTACTATATCTCAGTCCCAACAAAAAAAGTCAAAAATAGACTTGGTACGATTTCTAAAGTTAATGCAAGCGGAAAACAATGGTGAAAACCCCGTTCCAAAGTTTCCATACATAAATGAAATATTGATTTTTTTAAATACGTGATACAAAAATTTCAACAAAATTTACAAAATACTCCTATATGATAATAAATTGTTAAAAAAAACTTCCTTCGCAGTTATGTAGTGAAAGTTGTGGACAAGTTGCATTTAAAATTTCATAACAATAATTTTGTTAATAATAGAGATATTATATTATACATATTTACCTACACCTCTGTACATAGAACAAGTGGTTTTCTATATATCTGACAGCATAGCGTTAAAAAAAAAAATCGTCAATGCAAAAAAATATAATGAATAATTTTGATTAGTACTTGACAAAATCAATATATGAATTAGACGACCTTATTATCTTCAAAATGGATTCCTGCAACACTTTTAGTTAAAACATTGTTAAAATAAAGCAGATATCAAGTTTTACTGCTATCAAGAGGTCCAAAAGGTTTATATCAAACATTTGTTAAGATAACATGTATATATTTTTTAAGTACTTACTCAATAAATATGTTTGTTTCTTTTTTTGCATCGATGTTTTTTTAAACTTTGGTATCATGTACAGAATAACATAATCTCTCAAAAGAAAGTTAATGGCATTTAAAAAATTTTACCTAAATATACATCATAGTCAGACAGAATCAGTTAATTACTCATCCTTACATTTTAAATTTCAAAGCGGTTTCTCCGCTAATTTCAAAATAATAAGAAGAAGGGTGGTGATTTTACATTTTTTTTTATATACAAGGTATTTGTTTTAAAAATTATATAACAATTTTTACTTTCTGAGAGTAACCTAAGGAAGTGTTGTAAAGGGGTCCATATTTCATGATTCCTGGAGTATGAAAACTTAGGTCCCCCCTTTGTATGTCTGTGTCGATTTTTATTGAACAGATTATATCCGAAACTACTGGATCGCTTATTTTTAAATTTTATATCTATTTTTGCGAAGATGGTGAGACCCTAACCAACATTTGCCTAAGCATCCCCACTAATAATGTGATAATGCCACCTCAAAAATTTTGCATAGTAAATGTTATTTAATAAAATAACATACTCTTACACTTGTGGTTTATGAATCCGTATTTTTTATCCTAAGCATCCAAATGTTTGAAAAAAAATCAAAATTGTATGACATTTTCCAATTTAACTCTGAAACTGCAAAAGCAAATATTCTGAAATCTTGCAACTGTTTTAACGTTATCCTAAGCATGGTAAATCATTAATCAGAATTTATTCCTCCCAAATTTATGACACCAATCCAAAATTTTTCCGAATAAATCCTATCTAAAATGTGCAAAATACTCTATGAGACTATATTTGTTGTTCATCAACTCATTCATATTTTTTAGAATTACTTATACAGGATGGCTAAAAAAAATTAATGAATGAAGCAATTTATTTTATTGATTTAATCAAAAAGGGCGCAAGCCATTTACCGAAAATTTGGGAATACAGTACTGTTATTATTAGTATTACACTGCACCTATCCAAATTGATATACTTGTTCTTGCAAAATGTTGATGAAATCATCACAAAATTCTGTAATAGAAAAATTTACTTAAGACATACGCATAGTATGCTTCTCAGCCTTTACTTTAACGCTACACACATATCTTTATTTTAACTTACAGAAGTTAAATTTTAAAAATTTTCAAAGAAGCTCATGTTATTCAACAGAACTTTTCTCGACCCTGAAATAGAATAAAAAAATTCCAGTTTTCTAGGAAAAAAATGGATAATAGCAATCACAGTGTAAGAAAAACAAGACCCACGAGGAGACTGAACCTGGAGCACAATCGAAACAACTCATTAACTATCTAACTAACTGACTAACTCTCGCTGATTTCGAGTAATTTACTTGTGAAACTCCTTTCATTAGTTAGTGTTTTATTATCAAACACTGCGACGAAAAAACTCTGTATTCTAGGAATATTGTTTGATTCTAATAGTTTGTAATTATTTTTAAATTATGTGTTGGCTCAAAGCACAAAGTATGTATAAAAAATAAAAACTTAATAAGCAATACAGTTGTTTAAATATTTTTACTTCTTGAGCTTTAATCTCTTATAATAGGATCCACCCGACGAATGGCTACTTTTAGATTTTTCCGACGTCCCATGACCCCATATAGTACGAAAAAGTAAGGTCCCCGTTTTCGTCTGTCTGAAACTACCACACCAATTGTTGTCAAATTTTATATATAACTATGTCAGGAAAATCGTGTAGGTAATAAAGATGCCAGCCAAAATTTGTCTAATTATCCCCACCAGCAATTTGATGATGTCCCCTCAATTTTTTTTTTTGGTAAACAGCATTTAAATTTTATAAAATAACATACCAACTCATATACTTGCGGTTTATGACGACTTAATTTTTCACCCAATGCATCCAGATTTTCCCAAAACTCCAAATTGCATCATCACATTTTATACCAGTACAAGAGCATAGACATATGGTAAAATCAGTAGTTCGACTGACTCATGCATTATATTTCTTATTCATCAAATGAAAAGAGTCACCCCATTTTCTCGAAAAATTGAGAATTCAGTAATGTTGCGCCCACCTATATTTAAGAATAATAAAATACAAATGTCATAATAACAGCCATACTTACGCAAAACAAATATAAATCTTAAAAAATATATATTTAATCAGAACGTTTTACTCCATTGCAGCTTAATTAATTATTTTAGTTACCTTCTCTGTTTTGGGGAGGCGAAATCATTCAAATTCTTCCAAATATTCTGGTCAACCAGTTTTGTGAATGCTTAATAGTCCAATTGTTTCGATGAATAAACATAAACAATTGAAGTTAAGAATAATATATTTTTCCGGCAGGCACAAGGCCTACGGGCGCGTTATTTACACCATAGTTTAACAGTCCACGCATATCTTTATTTTAAGTTATCAGTTTAGCATATCCAATTATTTGTATTATTTAGCAGTGCAGCTTTTTTTCTTTTATTATTGAAAATGTCTCTTAATTATATTTGGATGCATAGGTTTTACCTCTATCCTTATTTCTGTATTAATAATAATAATTAATATTAATTTGCAAACGTAAATTTAATTATTTTTCGTAGAAATCGTTCGACCGTTCTTTAGAAACAAGAGAAGGTCTTTCTAAATCACTTTAGACTATTTTTTTCTATTGTATATACTATTTATTAGTTTTATGGACATTTATAATATTTTTTTATTGTGCAAGTAAGTTCTAAATTTATATTATAAACAGCAACGAAAATTCAAATTCAATATTCTGGTTTTATGTCTCGCTGTTATCTTAACACATAGTAAAGTATTTAATTATAATGTATCATTTAAAATAGTTAAAATTTAAAATACAACAGTGCTTACACTTTTAATCGTCGGTTATAAAATCTCTATTATAACTTCGTAATATTCAAATCTATGTTATAAGCATCCACGAAAATGCAAATTCATTATTATGGTTTCATGTAGGTATCGCTGTTATCTTAAAGTGTAGTAAACTTTTCCATTATAATGAGATATATCGTTAAAAATATTTAGTTAAAACTTGAAGAATAACACTGCTTTTTAAATTTTTGTAGTCAGTTAGAAAATCGCATTCATATAATGTTCAACGTTGCAGTTGATAATAATCCCACAATAAACATTTTAAAATATACCTAGTCGACCGAAATTTAGTTGGTTGTAAATATTATTAATAAAAAGGAAGTCAAGTAATTGTTGGATATTCGAATCATGTGCAACTTATTAAACTGAAATGAAATTAGTAAACATCAATTTGACATGCTGCATGCCAGCTTTGTACGACGTGACAATAATTAATTATTAGATAATTTGGTTTGTTGTCCGCACATTATATTGTATTCAAAACTTCTTTAACTTGAATATCTTGCATTGTATTAATTCAAATTATAAGTCACAAGCCATAAAGCAAAGCTAAAAAATAAAATAAAACAGTGGACGAACAGGCAAGAGCTTATTAGCTACATAATTAATTTCGTATAAGTTCTTTTGTATCTGAGCTCCAATAAATCCTGAGAAGTTGTCTGAAACTGAATCAAATTAAACACACAATGATTTACTAATAAAAATAATTATAATTTAAACCCGCACCATCTGTGCTTCGATTTCACATCACGCCCAAAACATTTAATTCCATATAAGTTGTACGTTAAGCACCGTGAAAAGAAAAAAAGATAATAGGTAGTTTAAGAGAACACTGGAATCACTTTATTCTTGAAGCTAACGTGTTTCGCGGCATAATTGAACTTTGAAATATTGCTTAGTGCTCCGCCCAATATTCAGTCGCGGTTTCTTTCGGTTTCCACCTTCCCTCCCACAATAATTGACTAGAATTAGCTCTCTTCCTCACTCAGCAACATTACTTGTTTCCAGTTTTCTGAACTTAAAAAATACATTTCCTGTTAAAAAGGTGATCAGTAAACTGTAAAATGAGTGTTGCGATAAATCTAGAAACTCCGATTAACTATTTCCCGCTTTTCAAAACTATATTTCAAGGTATTAAATAAGTGGCGTCCTCTATACTTGAAGTGCCGCACTAGAGTCTATTATCGTGTACACGTCACTTAATACCACAGTATCCTATACTTGGAACTAAAAATATCTATATAATTTTACAGTGTGCTTGAAAAAAGGTATGCAAATAACATAACAGAATAATCTCAGGAGATAACTCTCTCGGTATTTTTCGTATTGACGATCACGTCCGATACACTTAATTATGCTCTGCCAGGTGGCTTAACCACCAGGTGAACAATATCACAGTTCAGTTATCTTGTTTTGAGTGTATGGTTACAACAAACATTTTTTGTGGGAAACAAAAAGAAAATTTTGTCCGATACTGGAGCCCCGTATCAAAAAAAATATAATCGAATTTTCAAAATTTTTGAAAAATTGTGACAGTTATTAGTGTGACAGGTGGAAAATAAACAAATGTACAATGTCAACTGACAGGTTTCATAAGTGAGTATTATTATACACATTATAGTTTGTTATGGTAGTTTCGCAGTCCGGAGCGGAAATTTATTGAGTTTAAATTTCCGTTTTTACACAGTTTGTTGAACTGTTGATGCTGTTTAATTGAGATTACTACAATAATTTTACAATAACAATATTAATCACGAGTAGGTCTGAACAAAATGGCACATGGGACGGATATGACTTAAGTCATTACTTTTTTAATTAAAAATTTAATTTTAGAAAAAATATTTTTTGAATGTTCTACTTAATACATGCAGAATGTAGCACGAAAAATTTGAGTTTTTTATTATTGTAATTGCAGCCAAAATAAATTGTGACAAAAAAAATATTTTTCAGTTGTTTACTTTTTATGACTTTTATATAAAAAAAATATACATGATAAAAATTAAAAGTAACATTTTTTTCTAGAGCTGCTAAAGATGGCATGATAGAAGTGTTAAAAGAAGCAACAAAAAGAGACTGCAATGGACGAGACGAACAGGGGATGACTCCGACCCTGTATGCCGCATTTCATGGAAATTTGGAAGCGCTTAGGTTATTATGTGGACGAGGGTGAGTGTACATGAAAAATTCAAACAAAAGAAAAAGATAAGAATCACTTCTGGGAAATAAATGATGGACTTTATAAATTCTCGAATTATCAAATTTTATATAACATACACTTATTTCAGATCTAGCTTCTAGATTGACGTCATATCTTATCTTAAAAGCAAGATTCTGATCATCGTATCATAAATGATCAATAATACTAAGCGTTAAGGCCATTCTCTATAGCCAGAGTTTATGCTAACAACTCATCGCAATTATTGGCAAAACTGAAATATTCGTTTAGGACTTACACCCTTATCTAATTCTAAATGTTTTTACTCTTCTTGGCTTCTTTTTTATTCTTTAGATGGATTATTTGAAATCTGTACAAACTGCCTACGTATGTACATTGAATTAAATTCTGTATACTTAGTGGTCTTCAAGATATCTACAAATGTAATAATCAAGCAATTAGTTATAGATTATTTCCAGTAATTGGCATAACGGCATTCACTATGTGTAATAATGCAGTAATTACAAATAAATTCTCATTAAATTTTATAATATGAATAATGAACAAACGCTTATACGTGATTTGAGGAAACATTTTCTGGTTTAGTAAAGAAAGTCGCATGGCGCGTGCAGAACACTTACAATGAGGTGTAGGTAGGTTAAACATTGATGTCACTTTGTTAACAATCTGTGTACATCTTTGTAGTACTTATATATATTTTTTTTTTTTTTCAAAAATACTGTTGTGGGTGTTTAACAAAAATTAATCTTATCAGTAAGTTAAACTTTACATACCAAAATAAGCAATAAAACACCCCTTCAGCAATTACGAATCACTGGAAAATTTAAAAACTAAATCTGATTGTATAATGTAAATGATTTCACTACAATCTGACAATTAAAATGTTGTCTCTGGATTTTATTTTTATTTATTACGTGACGAATATAATACAAAATGTAAAAACATTAAATAAAGCTAAACTTCACTCTAACTTGCATGTACACACATAAAAGTATTTAAAATATGCAGCTTTATATACCAAATGACGTTGAGAAAATTCGCACCGTTGACTCACTCTGATGTATAGATAAAAAAGATTAATCCTTTGTTTTTTCATTGTATTTTAAATTAATTTAATTGAATTAGCAGTTTTTGTCATACAATTTTTCTTTAATGTGTCTTAATTATTTACTGTGAATCAAACCATTTTCAAAAGGACTGACACGAAAAATTAAAAATAAAATCTGGCAAAAATTATGCCCTTGACTTCCAAACTACATCGTCAAAATGAGACTTAAATTCTAACAAATGTAAAGTTAATAACGAAAAATACTCGTATATGTAGTCTTTATGTCATTTAACATCTATTCGCTTTTAACCAACAATTTTTTTCAAAATCACGGCGCTGAAACCACAAGCACTTTTATAATCTGTAGGATTACTAATGGCTTTAAATCTGGAATGCCATATCTACATTAATGCCGCGTGATCAGAAATGACTGAGTTCTTGCGCTTATGTTGGCATAACGGAAGCAGTTGTGCGACAGGTATGTCAATCGTGACATGCGATAAATTTAGGTTATGTTTTGGATACATTTTGCAAATTAAATATGTCAATAATCTGTCAGTCTTAACAGCTGACAATTGGAAATTATAGAAAACATCATGGTACCAATTTCACCTAAAAATCCATGATTGCCAACAGACTCAGTCATTTCTGAACACGCGGTATAACACCTATTTAACCTCATATCTGCCCTGATTTGGATAAACATTTATCATCACAAAATTAACGTCAAAAACTGGAACACCAGATATGTTTTAAATGACTACACTTCCATAGAAACACCATTATTTAGGTTAAGTTAAACTACAAATATGTCACTTGCAGATAAGCATTTGCATCATTTATGTTTATTTAGTTCAATGATAAATAAACAAAAAAGTTCATCGCATTTTTATGCACAGAGATAAGGAGACAAAACATAAAAAAACGTCCACGTGTAATTTGTTTAGTTACGACCAAAACTATAGACAAAATACCTACTTTATCATAATTTCATCAAGTAAAAATGATTTTTAAATAACGCTTGCTTGGCAGGTTACAAAATATGTGCGTTAAAATTTCCAGCAAGAAGGATGTTTAATTTAAGTTGACTAGCGGTATATTAGAGCTTAAATTACATGTTTATAAATTGGCAACAATCTTTATCTTTTAAGTAAAATTTTAAACTCGAACGATATCTCGGATAACGCTCAGTAACTAAAATGACGTATCTGAGGCACCGTTCAAATTTAAACATTCTTTATTGAAAAAAAGACTTGTCTCGACTATCTCTGTTTTCAGAAATAATTTCAGAGTGTTTTGTTGCTAATCAATTTGAAAATTCTCAGTAATAAACAAAATTTGCTTATTTAAAATTTCAACACTCGTTTTGGGCAAGTAAGAAGGAAAGATTTTTTTTCAAGAAACTAAATTCAGTAAAAATTGCATTTTTGGAATCAGCATTGCGTGAAATAAGAATGAAATTTTAATAGCGGTAGATACGGGATAGTAGAGATTTTATGTAAATTATTGTACAGAAGTCAAGCAACTTTTCACAAAATCTTTGCGTTTTGAAGAACTGGAACCACGAAAAATCTTGTATAAGTACGTTGAGCTTGTGGGTTTTGTACATTCCCAACTTAAAACAATAAATTAATTTTCATATTACTTCTATTTGTAAGTTTTATTTTTTGTTACTGCTTTTAAAATTATTTATTATTAGGAAAGTAGGTTTCTTAGTTTCGATTTAAGGCCAAGGCGACGTGGCCAACTTTTAAGAGACCGGTTAACTCTTTTTTTTTCACTCATAGCAACTGTCTATATCTCTGTAGTTTCTGTCATATGTGTGGTATATGACAATAATATACAGATATATTGCTGATTATGCGAGAGGCGTATTTTCTAGTTATGAGGCGAATTTGTAATGCAATGGAGAAAGTACATAAATTAAAAAATTTAAAGTCTAATACTCATAATATTTTATAAAAACTCTTTTTTTACTGCCAGGAAGTAAATGGAGACCATTTTGAACATCTTTTGTAGAAAACAGAAGAAGAATTATTAATTTATTTAATTATTGTTTAAATAAATTATAATTTATTTAGCCATTATCAATCAGAAACAAAGTATATGAATTCAGAAAAAAAGCTCTATTCAAAAATGTGTTCATTATATGGTAGTGCCATTAAAAAAAAACAAGTTGAGCTTGCATCTCGAAAACAAATGACGCAAAAAAAAATTTTTGGCGAATAATTAGAGCACAACTTCTTGTACCTCTATACCTAATTTCAGTTAATTTGTACAATTGGTTTTCAAGATATTTAACCGCTTCCATACATTCTAGGTACCCTATATATAGATAATACAAATTTCGTTGATCTATTAATGTGTCTATGACATAATCATCAGACATTTTCACTTTTATCTTATGGAGAGGTACTCTTAATATAATAATAATAAAAAAAACTTTCGTATTTGTATTTCTTTAACGTACTGAATGAGGTTATATAAATGTGTAAGTACTTGAAAAGTTATTAAAGGTAGAAAGATAGTTGTAGATTTTTATTAAAAATTTTCAAAAGCACAAAAATAACGAATTGAAATATTTGATTTCGAAATACTGATGTATTTCAAATTTCAAATCTAAAATTATTGAGAGTACATTTATGATTATGGTGCAAATGGTAAAAGTCTACCCAATATTTGTCTATCACTCCACCACTGCAAAGCTTTTTGCAGTGGTGGAAATGTCATCAGCTTTGATGACATTTCAAAATCTTGTTGAGCAAATTGTACTCGAAATATTTCAAAAAATATAAGAGTTACATTCAATGGATGCATTAACGTTTTCAACTTTACGCTTAACGATAAAAAATTGGTAGAAGGTTATTTCGACAGAACTTCCCGGTCCCTAAACTACAGCGAACAAATACAGATTCGAAAAATTATCAAAATTAACTTTGAAAATTTTATTTTTTTATGATGACCATTATGAGATAAAATTAATATATGTCTGGATTGTTAGAGTACAGGCAAAGAAGCATCGTATGTATATGTTTCTAGTGAGTTTTTTATGACGTCATCAACATTTTAGCAAAGGCACGTGTATCAATTTGAATAGATACAATGTAATAGGTACTATTAATAACAGTTCTATATCTTCAAATTTTCAAGAAAATGGGCTGGACAATAAAAGATGACGCATTATTCATTAATTTTATTAGTCACCTCGTATAAACGATTCAAAAAAACGTTAATTCATTGATAAACTACAAGTAGACTCTTAATATTGTGCATATTTTAGATTGATTCGGTAAAATTTTGAAATGACGTCGTTTTTCTGGGAGGCGTCGACCGCATAAATTTTGATTAAATATTTACTATGCTTACAATAACCTTAAAACGTTTACAAGGTTTCAAAACATACGGTTTTGAAATTTCAAAGTTAAGTTGTAAAATGTTATAAAATTTTGATTTTTTTACAAAAATCTGAATGCATAGGGTAAAAACTTCACAAGGATTTATAAACTACAAGTGCAGGAGTATGTTATTTTGTAAAATTTAAATAAAATTTACTATTGGAAAAGCTGGAGATGATGTCCTATGGGGTTAGCGTTTTATCCTCTACACGATATTCGTATTATATACATACAAAATTTTACCGGTAGTTTACAAGATTATCTATCCAATTAAAATCGACACAGACGCGGACAGACAGATCTATTCCTTCGTACTCTAGAGGTTATCAAAGGTGGAGAAAACATAAAAGTAGGGAGTCGGCCGATGGACTCGATTACAATACTTCTTTAGCAAAGTAAAAACTCTCAAAAAATTAAATTAATTGTACTTAAAAAAAAACTTAGTGTTTACAGTTGCTTAAAAAGTAAATAAAAAAAAATTGATCGAAGATTATGTTAACAGAACTTCCTTCACCCCTGAAGTACAGCCCAACAAATCCTGCTTTTT